GGGAGAGAACCCTCATGAGGTGATCCCAAAGGGGGGATTGCCTAACCATCAATGAGCATCATAAGTTGGAATTGTCAAGGTTTGGGACGGTCTCAAGACTTGACAATTCCTCGTCTCAAGGAATTGCGTAAAAAACACTTCCCGGAGATATTGTTCTTGATGGAAATGATGCATAGAAGAGATGATTTAGTTGATATGCAAAGCTGGTTGGGGTATGATGAAGTTTATACTGTGGAGCCAGTATGAAAATGTGGAGGTCTAGCTTTGTTTTGGAAGACCATTGTCAAGCTTGACATCAAGTTTGTAAATAATAATCTGTTAGATGCTCAAGTACAGTTTGGAGCAGTCAACTTTTTTATTTCTTGTGTTTATGGTGACCCGGATAAGAGTAAAAGAAGTGGAGTTTGGGAAAGAATTACAAGGATTGGAGTGGGAAGAAGAGATAGATGGTGTATGTTTGGAGACTTCAACGACATCTTACATAATGGCAAAAAGAATGGTGGTCCTAGAAGAAGTGACAATGATTGTAAATCCTTCAATGATATGATTAGAGCTTGTGGAATGTCTGAGTTACCTTCTCATGGTAACAGATTTACTTGGGCTGGAAGAAGAGGGGACCATTGGATTCAATGCAGGCTAGACAAGGCTTTTGGAAACAAGCATTGGTTTGACTTTTTTCCTGTTTCAAATCAAACTTTTTTGGACCTGCGGGGGTCAGATCACAGACCGGTTTTGATCAAGTTATTGTCTTCCCAGGACTCTTACCTAGGGCAATTTCGATTTGATAAACGTTTTCTGTTTAAGGATGTTGTTAAAGAGGCAATCTCGAGAACGTGGAGTAGAGGTGGTTCTGGTTTTAATTTGTCAGTGGCTGATAGGTTGAGAGATTGTAGAAAAGCTCTAAGCTCCTGGAAAAAACAGAACTCGTTGAATTCTTTGGATAAAATTCATCTATTAGAGGCTGCCCTTGAAAAAGAACAGTCTTTGGTGTGGCCTGGCTTTCAAAGGGTTTCTAAGCTGAAAAAGGATCTTGCTAAAGCCTATAGAGAGGAAGAGGCTTTTTGGAAACAAAAGAGTAGACAGAAATGGTTAAGAAGTGGCAACAGAAACTCGAAATACTTTCATGTTGCGGTGAAAGATAATAGGCAAAGGAAGAGAATTGACAAGTTAAAGGATATCAACGGCAAGATGCAATTTTCTGAGGCTGCTAAAGGTGAGGTTGCTGCTGCCTATTTTCATACTCTCTTCAAGTCTTCCAATCCTTCTTGTTTCAATGACTGGTTTGAAGGTCTGGTTCCGAGAGTTTCAACTAGTATGAATGATTGTTTAATTGGTGAAGTCAGTCCCCAGGAAGTCAAAGAAGCTGTCTTTTCCATTAAGCCTTCAAGTGCTCCCGGTCCGGATGGAATGTCGGCTTTGTTCTTTCAACACTACTGGTCTACTGTGGGTTTGCAGGTCATTTCTGAAGTTCAAAATTTTTTTATTGAAGGGACTATGCCAGCTGAGTGGAATTATACTCACCTTTGTCTTATTCCCAAGACTCACCATCCCACTGATATGGCTAATCTTAGACCCATTAGTCTTTGCTCAGTTTTGTACAAAATAATCTCTAAGATTATGGCTAAGAGACTACAACCTTTGCTGCTTGAGATTGTCTCCGATACTCAGTCAGCCTTTGTTTCAGAACGTTTCATCACCGATAATATTTTGATAGCGCATGAGTTAGTGCATGGTTTGAAAGTTCATCCTCGTATTTCTGCTGAGTTTATGGCGGTAAAATCTGATATGTCTAAAGCCTTTGACCGCGTTGAATGGAGTTATCTGCGGTCTCTGCTGCTTGCTTTGGGGTTTCATCAGAAATGGGTCAATTGGATCATGGTTTGTGTATCCACTGTCACTTATTCTGTTTTGATCAACGATGCTCCTTTTGGTCTAATTACTCCTTAGAGAGGTCTACGACAAGGCGACCCATTATCGCCTTTTCTTTTTGTGCTTTGTACAGAGGGTCTTTCTCATCTTTTGAACAAGGCTCAATGGGAAGGTAGATTGGATGGAATTCAGTTTTCTGATAATGGTCCGGTGGTGCACCATTTATTATTTGCTGACGATAGTCTCTTCCTTTGCAAAGCGTCTAGAGAGCAAAGTCTGGTTTTGCAAAAAATTCTGAAGATATATGGTGATGCAACGGGACATACCGTTAATCTATCCAAATCCTCTATAACTTTTGGAGCTAAGGTGGAAGCTATTAATAAAGGCATCATTCAAGCTGTTCTCGGTATTTCAAATGAGGGTGGAGCTGGTACTTATCTGGGTCTTCCAGAATGTTTCAGTGGTTCGAAAGTCGATATGCTCAACTACCTTAAAGATAGACTGAAAGCAAAGTTAGCAGGTTGGTTCACTAGGTGTTTATCCCAAGGTGGGAAAGAGGTGTTGTTAAAGTCTGTTGCTTTAGCGATGCCTGAATTCGCTATGTCATGCTTTAAATTACCTATTACTACTTATGAAAATCTTGAGAGTGCAATGGCTGCTTTTTGGTGGGATTCTTGTGAGCATTCTAGAGCTATCCATTGGCAGAGTTGGGAGCGGCTTTGTTTACCTAAAGATTTTGGTGGACTGGGTTTCAGAGATATACAATCCTTCAACCAGGCCTTGTTGGCAAAGCAAGCGTGGAGACTTCTTCAATCTCCTGAGTGTTTTCTTGCTAGGCTGTTGAAGAGTAGATATTATGTGAATTCTGGGTTTCTTGAGGCTGCCTTAAGTGCTAGACCATCTTTTGGCTGGAGAAGCATTTTTTCTGGCCGTGATCTTCTTTCAAAAGGTTTATTAAAGAAGGTTGGTAATGGTGCTTCTTTATTTGTTTGGATTGACCTGTGGATAGATGATGATGGATACAGAGCTCCAATGAGGAAAAACTTGTTCTTTGATGTGGCTCTTAGAGTCAGCTCTCTCTTACCCGAGAACAGGTTTTTGGGATGAGGATATTCTCAACGATCTCTTCTTTCCTGAGGACATTATTAGAATCAAAGCTGTCAAACCAGTCATGGCTCAAGAGGATTTCTATATCTGGCAGTACAATAAAAGTGGCGATTTCACTGTGAAGTCCGCTTATTGGCTTGCTGACCAGGAAAAAAGTTTGATCCTGTGAAATGCTGCAAACGTCCAACCTTCTACTCTTGAACTTAAAAAGCTTGTTTGGACTCTTCACACCGATCCTAAGATCAAGATCTTTTTGTGGAAGGTTCTTAGTGGTGTTTTGCCGGTGGCTGAGAATTTGAATGGTAGAGGGATGAATGTTGATGTTACTTGTCAGGTTTGTGGGGAGATGGGGGAGTCACCTAATCATATCCTCTTCCTTTGTCCACTTGCTAGGCAAATCTGGGCTCTTTCTGATTTTCCTTTTCCGGAGAATGGGTTCAGTAATGGTGGCATTTACTCTAACATCTTCCATCTTTTGGTGAATAG